ACCAACGTCATGTTGTCGACTGGTGAGCAAAAAGAGGAAAAAGGGTCGCTCTGTTTTTGATACCACGCATATTGCCTGAGTAGTTCATAAAAAACTTTCATAGTTCATTTAAAACAATAGTGGACAAAGAACTTGAGAGGCATTTGAGTTGTGATCGAGAATACAACTGGATTGAGATTTCCGAATTCAACCTCCCCGCTGAGTTGTTCATTTTGAGACTACTGGATCAGTAAACGTTTTACTATGTCTTCAGCAAGATAACTCGTTCATTTGAAACACACGAAGCGTAACTGAAAGTAAGATTTTCTATTTCTCAATCTCGACACAATCTTTGCGTATCGCAATGAAGACTTGCTTTTCAAAAAGATGTTTTCTCTTAATCCTGGTTCATCGTAGGATTTGTAGTATTCGTTATTTACCTTTATTCTGGTGCTTTTGAGTACTAAACAAATAGCGCATTTTGTCGGCAATCAGCCGCATCATATTTGAAGAAGCAGTATGGCAAAGTTTTAAAACATGCCGTGCCTAATCATCCTAAACTTGACGGATTCAGCAAAATATATTTGATGAGGAAGCTGGTAAAATATAAGAGAGACAATAATCAACTAAAATATTGACATGGATTAAAGATGAAAGGCTTGAAGGATTAATCTTGGAGCTTTACGATATGCAAAAACTGTGATGTTCTCATTTTTTTAGCTCTGTGTGGTTCTGCCCAAATGGTTATGCAAAAATACTTTCCGCAGCACTGATCTTCAATAACCCGTCTTTGACTTACTGTATTTCACTCGCGTATTAAAATGCAACTGATTACGAAAATTTTAACACAAGCCTTTGGAAATAAGCGTATGGTGAAGATATACTTGATACATAAGCTACTTTTTTCTCTTTTCAGGACGATTGCATAGCCTCTTCACCTACCCTGGGTGTAATTATTTCGTTTAAAGTACCATTCTGAGAGGTAAGTAGATTCATGAATTATGAATTGATGCGCACTAAAAGGTCACTTTATTTGAATTTCATACTTTAGTAAGGGTCTGTTTTGTACTCAGACCAGCTGTTTTACTTCCAGCAGTCGTTACTGATCTAGATTAAAGGGACAGGGAAATGCTTTAGTAAAGATGGGAACACGCAATGCGTATCAGTCAAGGCAAAAGTTGCTATTTTCGAAGGCGTCAGGAAACTGAGAGCGAATCCCTTTCCTCACTGTTCTTTTTCCGGTGCAAGAGAATGACTTGCCTTCTCTAATTCAATAACATGTTTTCCGAGAACTCGAGTTAGGCGTTATTTATCGATGATATTTTTGTCAACAAAATTATTGTGCCTTTAAATTCAATCTGATAAACCAGAGGACATTTGACCACAAGTAATGTTTGGGACAAATCGTGCTGTCTTAGTTATATAGTTAACTAATAACTAAGAGCATGAGTTGTAGGGAAAAATTGTTGTCCTGCATTCTGATCTTGACTATATAGTGCATTTGTTGTAAAGGTTGAGTGGCATAAGATACTGGACTCTGTTTCTGTCATTACAAAGTTTGAACATAACACAACTCCCTCAGTCTGTGGTTAACATTCTTATGCACACTATCATGCAGATAACATATGATACTTCTTGAGATTTACTTGTTTTTTTTTCAACTGGTATATCTTCCAAAGTAAGTTAAGGGTGTTTGATGCAATTTGGGTCGAATAAAAGCTGGCTTTTTCTCTCACTTTTTGCACAAACCTTAACACAACTAGTTTTTTTGTCGTACTCATATTTTAACTTAGTTTTCAACCTACAAAAAAAAAAAATGATGAAGTTTGATGCTGATTGAATATTTTCCACACAAACACCCTGCTTTTCTGTGACAGATAATTTTAGCTTGTTCATTGGTATTCTACAAGGGTCATGATTCCAATCATGGTGTTGCGACACTGCATTCACATTGAACATGTTTGTAATTCTTAAGAATACAAACTTTGCATGACAAATCTGAATTTCTTTCCATGTTTTATTGTTACTAAATGCATCATGATTACGAACAGATGATTGCATTGGGTTCTCTAATATGTTGTCGCAAGGTAAAAAGGAAGCCAGGATTTTTGCATGATACCAACCCAATCCCATTTAGGATCCCAGGTGGTGATGGCGGGATCTTACAATGCAGGTGGGATCCAGGTAATCACCAGGTAATCCTGACTGGGATCTCGCCTTGCACTCAGCAATCCAGGTGGAATTAGCGGGATCCCATCTGTCACACATATGTCTCAAAGTCACCCCAACTGGGATCCTGCCAACCACCAGGTATTCCATTTGGGAAAAGTGGGATGTTATCTGGGACTTAGAACTTGTTTCTCTATAAAAGCTTTTTGCTGTTGAACTTCAAATTGAAATTACAAACTTTTAAACCACAGTCTGGAGTAAAAGAAAAAAAGAGGAAAAAGAAATTGCATCTAAGTGTTATGGTGGAGACTTGGAGCATATTATGGAATGAAAAAAGGCATTTATATAGCTCTTATTACAAGCATCTTTTGGCACAAAACGATTGGATACAAACTTAGAATCATTTGGTGAGTGCAAGTGGTTGAACTTTAAAAGGAAATTGGAAAATTATAGGCCACGACTCGAATTGTGCCAACTTTGAACTGTTCTCCAATGCATGTTTCGCGATAGTTTCAAAAGTCACCATTCATTTCACAATTTTCTGAGTGACTGATTAGACGTTTGGGAGTACAAGCTTGCTTGTGGTTTTTGCAAATTCTATGCTCAGTACGCTGTATACAGGTCTCAAAAACTTTCAGAATTGTACTTGTGTGTGTTACTTGGGATTTTTTAGAGGATGCTATATATTCGTGGCTGGGATCCATCATCCCACTTGTAGACAATAGACAAGACCCTTAGTAGAAAGGACAGGATCCCCATCTGGGATTGTATGGGAACTGAGTTAGGATCTCAATTTGAAATTTTTCTTTGGGTGAGGTGGAATCCAATCCAGGATTGTATGGGCGTTAGGCGGGATCCCGCCTGGAATTGTACCTAGCACTGAGGGCATCTCACCTAAAAGTTAAGGCAGGATCCCAACCAGAATTGTAGGTGGGATTTACAAGATCCCACCCGAACATTTTTAAGCCATACCATGTAGGAAGTTCCCAAATCTCGCTCAGGATCCTAGATTGGATTTGTGGGGTCCCTCTTGAGATTGGTGGGATCTGGCCTCCAGTTTTTACTTGGTGCACAAACGACAATATGTTTTCAGGTAGTTTGCTGATAACTGCATTTGTGGGATCGATGTTCACTTTTCTCTTTTATTACTTTATGAACAAACAAATATTATGGCTCTTCCTCTGTTACTACAGCTAAAAGTTAGCAGTCTCATCGTGAATTGAATTTTAGAATGAAGACTTTGGTCAAACCTGGACGTGTGTGTTTAAAATAAGGAAATATCTTGGGGAATATGCTGGTGTGCAACTGGTCTATAAGCAACACCTTATCGCATATGCCCGAGCTAAAGCTGGGCATATCCCAGGATACCCAAAATGATACTCCTCAATTTTCGAACCTTACGCATACTTTGAGAAACGCGTTTGTTTGAAATTTAATTCCAGGGGAGGGACTGATTAGCTATTGTTAAGAAGGAGGAACGTGTTTGTTTGCTCGTGAAGTCGTTGCAGCAGATATTTAATCATTGATAATCAAATAATAATACAAATATTGGAAGGATAATAAACACAATAACCTCTATTTGTCGTGAAAATATGCTCGTTTATTTGTCCTCGGACATTATCAGTCCCTCAAAGCTAACAGTTTCCCTCAAGCTTTGCTCTCGCAAATCCATTCTCATTTCAGAACAAATAGTATTCGTGGGCATTGTTTATGCCAATTGGAGGCATTTCTTTCTGTTTTCCCTGGTTATTAGCTGAGCGTATTCAATCACATGACGTTTTGAGACCAATCAAGTGTGAACAAATACATTTGGTGCGTGATAATGAACAATAGTTGGCAGAGCAGCTCGGTAGGCTGTTGCACACCCCAACCACACCAAGTCTTCTGCTGCCTCAGCAAAATTATGGATTTTTTTTACAAGTCTCCACTCTATTCCGTATTGGTGGTTTGAGTGTTAATGTATTAATTAAGACTCAAACTTCCAGGGATGTCAGCACAAAATTGAAGAAAATGTTCAAACTTAAGTTAATTACACCTATTTTGAATGACAGTCTCTCCAAAGTACTGATAATTGTCTTTGAATGCTAAGATATTCACAGAAATTTCAGATAAGTTTTAAATGTCTCTTCCTATGGTAGGTCGGGGAGACCTGGCAGTCAGGTATAATTTATGCAAGTCGTCGAGTCAGTTGGTGCATTAATATTAATAATTATTTTCTTATGCTTCTTGTTAGGTACTGATACCTATGGAAATATGGATGATAGCTTTAAACTAGTTCTCAAGTTACAAACTCCTCTTGGAGGATTTCAGAGTATTTTGTTTCCTGCATCGCATCTGATCATTTTTGGCATTCTACAAAGCTATCATGCCAATGAGAGATTTGACTTCAACTGTGATCCCAAACCCAGTGATTTTATCAAACAACTTTGCTATGACAACTACATTTCCACAGTTACCAAGCCTCATGGGTTAATACCTCGGAACGTTGTTGCCATAACCTTCAGTGTTTTGTGTGCATGCTGGATCGGCTTTGCAATTTATGGTGTTGTGACCCTTCGAAAAAGACCAGGATGCAAGGAAAAAAACACAAAGAAATTTCTTCGCGCCTACTTCATCCATGTATTCTTTCGAATATTTTTCCTGGGTGTTATGTTAGGGCTGGTCTGCAGTTACCAGACAATTTTTTTACCTTCGGTTTTTAAGTGTGGTGTTAATGAGACCTTGCAGACCAACAGTCAAACCACGCCAAGTCCACTCAACCAGAAAAAAAATTAAAACTGCAATGTAATGATCGTCATCACGAGGAGAAATCAAACCTAAACATAGCTGTTATCTCTGTCGATGCCTTCTTTATGGTGCTCAGTATATTGGAAGTCCTGCATTTGTACCGTATCAGGGAAAACTATGTGCAAAAGTTGTTAGGAAACCTTGAAGACTTTGAGATTCAAGAGTTACTGCAAAGTAAGTAAATATTTTATAGTTTAATTGCTAGCAAATTACCATAGGCAAAACACTGGTGCAGAAATGTTAGTTAGCGATATAATTATGGCAATGACTAAACCAAAGAAAGAGATTTAGCATGAGCATATGGGAGACAACCCAAAAAAATTTATAGGAAGGGAGGGGGGAGTGTTTGTTTATATATTACACTTCATAATTCTAAACAACCTATTTGTGAGAGAGTCTTATTGGTACTGTTTGGTTCACGTGGTCAAATTCCATTACTGAGAGACCAAATGACGGTAAAGAAAGCAACAACTGGCACTTGTCAATATTCCATTGACCCCTTCTCGGCAAGAAATAGAAATTTCAATGAGTCACAACTTCCCCCTAATATCTAATAACCCTTTAATAACAGTGGAATAGTTGAAAATACAACGGAAGCAGCCTAGAGCTTGATAAAAAGAAGCAACAAAGGATGCTTCTGATGCTTTGCTGGCCCTCCTTGACTACCGCACAACTTCTGCCCAAGGCCTTCAGACCAGCCCAGTAAAGTCGCTCTTGTGTCGATGAAATATGCAGGCCGGGAAGTATCTTTTAGCACCCAGACTTGGAAATGGAAGATTAATCTATTACAAGGCTGCGTCCAAAAATAATGATTATTTAGGGATCAATTAAGGGCAGATGTTGGAATTTGAAGCTATGAGGTGGTTCCAGAATGTGGGAGGAAATTTCGACACAGATGTGTTCACCCACGGAAATAAAGTGAAGCTTTAAGCTCTCGCTTAACAATTGCAGTGTGGCCATTTGACCTTTCCACTGAGGCGTTAACGACCCGACTTTACATCCTGCTAGGTGCGACCACAAAATCTAAGGTCTGATCTTTTTCTTGTTAAGAGGGTCACAAGTATACATCATAGAAATGTACTTGTATCTGTAATACCCGTTTGACTCTTTAATTGCTTTCCGTATGCAACAATCGACATCTGTTTACCCACCCGTGGGTGACATATTTTGTGAGATCTCAAGGGTTTCAGTGGCCCCTAAATTGGGGACTGGTACGAATCAGCCAGTGAGTCGAGCACGAATGACTCAAACTGGGTATAAATCGACTGGGCGCGAAACATCCACAGGTATGACAGACTAGGGAACGAGTTTTGTAGATCATCTATGTATGCTCAAAGGAAATAAAATTATTTAAAACGTCTATTTCAAGCTTACCACTTTTTTGGATCTGATATGTTAGGACCCGTTGCATTCCTATCACTCGTTGAAATTATTAAATTGACGTGTACTCGTGTTTTACGTGATTACAATGAGTATTTAGCATTTATCAAAGATGAAGTTTAATAGAAGCATAATTTTGAACATGTTTTCCAGAAAAACCAACCATCACAAACACAGAAGTAGAAGTTGACAAGTATCTCATTGTTACCTGGTCAGCACCTGAGGCCAGCAGCAGTAATCGCAGCATTAAATACCGTCTGGAATGTAGGAAACAATCCATGACAGGATCCACAAAAATCTTTCAACAAGGAGATATTGTTGAAACTCGCCACACGATAACTGGTCTTGAGTATGACACAGAGTACGAAGTAAAACTGTTCGCTGTCAACGAACAAGGAGACAGTGAGCCAGATGTCAGAACATTTAAGACAAAGAGTGGTATGTACCTTTATTTAAGACTTCTCACTTTACCTTCGGCAGAATTGTTTAAAATGCAATAAAATAAATGCTGTTGGGTCCTAAATACAGGAGTAACACTGCTTTTAAGGGGGGAGGATTGTGAAACTTTCTGACAACAGGTTTAACACTCATACTGCAGCTCTCATATAAGAAAAATTAATTATTTGCGCAACATTTTTTTACTATCGTCATCTTTGATTTAGTCGTAAATTAACTTGATAAGACTTGTTATTAATTTTTCATGCTAGAAAGAGTTGTTCATCAATGTTTCATTTACCTTTCTTATTATAATAATATGTTAGTTTTAGTTAGAATAAGTATTTCACAGTTTTTAGAGACAAAGTGTTAAAGAAGTATATCATTTTGATCAGGTTTACCTGAGAAACCAGCCATCACAAACACAGAAGTAGAAGTTGACAAGTATCTCATTGTTACCTGGTCAGCACCTGAGGCCAGCAGCAGTAATCGCAGCATTAAATACCGTCTGGAATGTAGGAAACAATCCGTGACAGGATCCACAAAAATCTTTCAACAAGGAGATATTGTTGAAACTCGCCACACGATAACTGGTCTTGAGTATGACACAGAGTATGAAGTGAAACTGTTCGCTGTCAACGAACAAGGAGACAGTGAGCCAGATGTCAGAACATTTAAGACAAAGAGTGGTATGTGCCTTTATTTAAGATTACTCACTTTACTTTTAGTAGAATTGTTTGAAATAAAATAAAAGAAACACTGTTGGGTCCTAAATACAGGAGTAACACTGCTTTTAATGGGGGGAGGATGGTGAAACGTTCTGACAACAAGTTTAATACTCATGCTGCAGCTCTCTTACGAGAAACATTAATTATTTACCCAACATTTTTTTTACTATCGTCATCTTTGATTTAGTTGTAAATTATATTGATAAGACTTGTTATTAATTTTTCATGCTAGAAAGAGTTGTTCATCGATGTTTTATTTACCTTATTACACCAATATGTTTAGTTTTAGTTAGAATAGGTATTTCACAGTTTTTTAGAGACAAAGTGTAAAAGAAATATCATTTTGAACAGGTTTACCTGAGAAACCAGTCATTACAAACACAGAAGTAGAAGTTGACAAGGATCTCATTGTTACCTGGTCAGAAGCTGAGTCCAACAGCAGTAATTGCAGCATTAAATACCGTCTGGAATGTAGGAAACAATTCATGACAGGATCCAAAAAGTCTTTCAACAAGGAGATATTGTTGAAACTCGCCACACGATAACTGGTCTTGAGTATGACACAGAGTACGAAGTCAAACTGTTTGCTGTCAACGAACAAGGAGACAGTGAGCCAGATGTTAGAACATTTAAGACAAAAGTGGTATGTACCTTTATTTAAGATTACTCACTTTACTTTTAGTAGAATTGTTTGAAATAAAATAAAAGAAACACTGTTGGGTCCTAAATACAGGAGTAACACTGCTTTTAATGGGGGGAGGATGGTGAAACTTTCTGACAACAGGTTTAATACTCAAGCTGCATCTCTCATATGAGAAACATTAATTATTTGACCAACATTTTTTTACTATCGTCATCTTTGATTTAGTCGTAAATTATATTGATAAGACTTGTTATTAATATTTCATGCTAGAAAGAGTTGTTCATCAATGTTTTACTTACCCGTCAACATGTTTAGTTTTAGTTAGAATAGGTATTTCACAGTTTTTAGAGACAAAGTGTAAAAAAGTATCATTTTGAACAGGTTTACCTGAGAAACCAATTATCACAAACACAAAAGTAGAAGTTGACAAGGATCTCATTGTTACCTGGTCAGAAGCTGAGTCCAACAGCAGTAATTGCAGCATTAAATACCGTCTGGAATGTAGGAAACAATTCATGACAGGATCCACAAAAAAGTCTTTCAACAAGGAGATATTGTTGAAACTCGCCACACGATAACTGGTCTTGAGTATGACACAGAGTATGAAGTCAAACTGTTTGCTGTCAACGAACAAGGAGACAGTGAGCCAGATATCAGAACATTTAAGACAAAAAAGTGGTATGTACCTTTATTTGAGACCTCTCACTTTACTTTTGCTAGAATTGTTTGAAATGAGGTTAAAAGAAACAATGTTTGCCCCTTAATATTGGAGTATCACTGCTTTTCACGAGACAAAGAATTGTGAAACTTTGTAACAACAGGTTTATACTCATGCTGCAGCTCTCATATGAGAAAACTTAATTATTTGGCCAACATTTTTTTACTATCGTCATCTTTGATTTGGTCGTAAATTACATTGTGAAGACTTGATGTTAATTTTTCATGCTGGAAAGAGTTGTTCATCGATGTTTTATTTACCTTATTACACCAATATGTTTAGTTTTGGTTAGAATAGGTATTTCACAGTTTTTAGAGACAAAGTGTAAAAGAAGTATCATTTTGAACAGGTTTACCTGAGAAACCAGCCATCACAAACACAGAAGTAGAAGTTGACAAGGATCTCATTGTTACCTGGTCAGCACCTGAGGCCAGCAGCAGTAATCGCAGCATTAAATACCGTCTAGAATGTAGGAAACAATTCATGACGGGATCCACAAAAATCTTTCAACAAGGAGATATTGTTGAAACTCGCCACACGATAACTGGTCTTGAGTATGACACAGAGTACGAAGTGAAACTGTTCGCTGTCAACGAACAAGGAGACAGTGAGCCAGATGTCAGAACATTTAAGACAAAAGTGGTATGTACCTTTATTTGATACTTCTCGCTTTACTTTTAGAAGAACTGTTTGAAATGAAATTGTAAAAGATACTAATACTATAACTAATAATAATATAAAAGTAACAATTGGCGCTTGTAAATGTTCCATTGACCCCTTTTCAGCAATAAATAGAACATGTTAAAAAGAAGCAACGAGGAATGCTTCTGATAGCTTTACTGTCTCTCCTTGACAACCGCACAACTTCTACTCGGGGCCTTTACACCAGCCCAGTACTGTGGCTCATGAGGCGATTAAATGTGCTGGCCGAGAAGTATCTTTTACCTCTCGTAGTTTAAAATGAAAGATGTCGTTAGGATGAGCCTATTACCAGGCTGCATCCAACAATAATAATTACTGAAGAATCAATTAGTGGCAGATGTTGGAATTTGAAGCTATGAGGTGGTTCCAGAAGATGTGAGGAAATTTCGACGCAGTTGCGTTCACTCGTGGAAATGAAGCAAAGCTTTAAGCTCACGCCTAACTAGGTGCCGCCATTTGACTTTTGCCCTGCAGAGTTAACTACCCGACTCTGCATCCTGCTGGGAACGACCACCAAATCTATGGCCTAGAATCAGTAATGCGGGGTCTGATCTTTGTATTGTTAAGAGGGTCACAAGTATACATCACAGAACTTAACTTGTATCTGTAATACTCGTATGACTCTCTACGAACTTTCCGTATGCAAAAATCGATATCAGGTTGCTCATTCGTGGGTGACATGTTTTATTTTTGAGATCTCCTAGGATTTGGTGATTTGGTGGTACCACTGGGTCGGGTACGAACGACTCCAACTAGGTATAAATCGACTGAGTGCGAAACGTACACGAAAATGACAACCTAGAGAACGAGTCTTAAAGATCCTCTATGTATGCTTATATGAGACCAAAATTATTGAAAACGTACATTTCGAAGTTATCATGTTTTTGATCTGACATGTTAAGACCCGTTGCAATCATATTATTTGTTGAAATGATTAAATTGACATATCTACGTGTTTTAGTTAGTTACAATAAGTATTTCACATTTATCGGAGACAAAGATTAAGAGAAGCATGATTTTGAACAGGTAAACCTGAGAAACCAACCATCACAAATACAGAAACAGAAGTTGACGAGGACTTCATTATTACCTGGTCAGAAGCTGAGGCCAAGAGCAGTAATTGCAGCGTTAAATACCGTCTGGAATGGAGGAAACAACCCATGACAGGATCCACAGTAATGGTTCAACGAGAAAATATTGTGGAAACTCACCTCAAGATCACTGGTCTTGAGTATGACACAGAGTATGAAGTGAAACTGTTCGCTGTCAACGAACAAGGAGACAGTGAGCCAGATGTCAGAACATTTAAGACAAAGAGTGGTATGTGCCTTTATTTAAGATTACTCACTTTACTTTTAGTAGAATTGTTTGAAATAAAATAAAAGAAACACTGTTGGGTCCTAAATACAGGAGTAACACTGCTTTTAATGGGGGGAGGATGGTGAAACGTTCTGACAACAAGTTTAATACTCATGCTGCAGCTCTCTTACGAGAAACATTAATTATTTACCCAACATTTTTTTACTATCGTCATCTTTGATTTAGTTGTAAATTATATTGATAAGACTTGTTATTAATTTTTCATGCTAGAAAGAGTTGTTCATCGATGTTTTATTTACCTTATTACACCAATATGTTTAGTTTTAGTTAGAATAGGTATTTCACAGTTTTTAGAGACAAAGTGTAAAAGAAATATCATTTTGAACAGGTTTACCTGAGAAACCAGTCATTACAAACACAGAAGTAGAAGTTGACAAGGATCTCATTGTTACCTGGTCAGAAGCTGAGTCCAACAGCAGTAATTGCAGCATTAAATACCGTCTGGAATGTAGGAAACAATTCATGACAGGATCCACAAAAGTCTTTCAACAAGGAGATATTGTTGAAACTCGCCACACGATAACTGGTCTTGAGTATGACACAGAGTACGAAGTCAAACTGTTTGCTGTCAACGAACAAGGAGACAGTGAGCCAGATGTTAGAACATTTAAGACAAAGAGTGGTATGTACCTTTATTTAAGATTACTCACTTTACTTTTAGTAGAATTGTTTGAAATAAAATAAAAGAAACACTGTTGGGTCCTAAATACAGGAGTAACACTGCTTTTAATGGGGGGAGGATGGTGAAACTTTCTGACAACAGGTTTAATACTCAAGCTGCATCTCTCATATGAGAAACATTAATTATTTGACCAACATTTTTTTACTATCGTCATCTTTGATTTAGTCGTAAATTATATTGATAAGACTTGTTATTAATATTTCATGCTAGAAAGAGTTGTTCATCAATGTTTTACTTACCCGTCAACATGTTTAGTTTTAGTTAGAATAGGTATTTCACAGTTTTTAGAGACAAAGTGTAAAAAAAGTATCATTTTGAACAGGTTTACCTGAGAAACCAATTATCACAAACACAAAAGTAGAAGTTGACAAGGATCTCATTGTTACCTGGTCAGAAGCTGAGTCCAACAGCAGTAATTGCAGCATTAAATACCGTCTGGAATGTAGGAAACAATTCATGACAGGATCCACAAAAGTCTTTCAACAAGGAGATATTGTTGAAACTCGCCACACGATAACTGGTCTTGAGTATGACACAGAGTATGAAGTCAAACTGTTTGCTGTCAACGAACAAGGAGACAGTGAGCCAGATATCAGAACATTTAAGACAAAAAGTGGTATGTACCTTTATTTGAGACCTCTCACTTTACTTTTGCTAGAATTGTTTGAAATGAGGTTAAAAGAAACAATGTTTGCCCCTTAATATTGGAGTATCACTGCTTTTCACGAGACAAAGAATTGTGAAACTTTGTAACAACAGGTTTATACTCATGCTGCAGCTCTCATATGAGAAAACTTAATTATTTGGCCAACATTTTTTTACTATCGTCATCTTTGATTTGGTCGTAAATTACATTGTGAAGACTTGATGTTAATTTTTCATGCTGGAAAGAGTTGTTCATCGATGTTTTATTTACCTTATTACACCAATATGTTTAGTTTTGGTTAGAATAGGTATTTCACAGTTTTTAGAGACAAAGTGTAAAAGAAGTATCATTTTGAACAGGTTTACCTGAGAAACCAGCCATCACAAACACAGAAGTAGAAGTTGACAAGGATCTCATTGTTACCTGGTCAGCACCTGAGGCCAGCAGCAGTAATCGCAGCATTAAATACCGTCTAGAATGTAGGAAACAATTCATGACGGGATCCACAAAAATCTTTCAACAAGGAGATATTGTTGAAACTCGCCACACGATAACTGGTCTTGAGTATGACACAGAGTACGAAGTGAAACTGTTCGCTGTCAACGAACAAGGAGACAGTGAGCCAGATGTCAGAACATTTAAGACAAAGAGTGGTATGTACCTTTATTTGATACTTCTCGCTTTACTTTTAGAAGAACTGTTTGAAATGAAATTGTAAAAGATACTAATACTATAACTAATAATATAAAAAGTAACAATTGGCGCTTGTAAATGTTCCATTGACCCCTTTTCAGCAATAAATAGAACATGTTAAAAAGAAGCAACGAGGAATGCTTCTGATAGCTTTACTGTCTCTCCTTGACAACCGCACAACTTCTACTCGGGGCCTTTACACCAGCCCAGTACTGTGGCTCATGAGGCGATTAAATGTGCTGGCCGAGAAGTATCTTTTACCTCTCGTAGTTTAAAATGAAAGATGTCGTTAGGATGAGCCTATTACCAGGCTGCATCCAACAATAATAATTACTGAAGAATCAATTAGTGGCAGATGTTGGAATTGAAGCTATGAGGTGGTTCCAGAAGATGTGAGGAAATTTCGACGCAGTTGCGTTCACTCGTGGAAATGAAGCAAAGCTTTAAGCTCACGCCTAACTAGGTGCCGCCATTTGACTTTTGCCCTGCAGAGTTAACTACCCGACTCTGCATCCTGCTGGGAACGACCACCAAATCTATGGCCTAGAATCAGTAATGCGGGGTCTGATCTTTGTATTGTTAAGAGGGTCACAAGTATACATCACAGAACTTAACTTGTATCTGTAATACTCGTATGACTCTCTACGAACTTTCCGTATGCAAAAATCGATATCAGGTTGCTCATTCGTGGGTGACATGTTTTATTTTTGAGATCTCCTAGGATTTGGTGATTTGGTGGTACCACTGGGTCGGGTACGAACGACTCCAACTAGGTATAAATCGACTGAGTGCGAAACGTACACGAAAATGACAACCTAGAGAACGAGTCTTAAAGATCCTCTATGTATGCTTATATGAGACCAAAATTATTGAAAACGTACATTTCGAAGTTATCATGTTTTTGATCTGACATGTTAAGACCCGTTGCAATCATATTATTTGTTGAAATGATTAAATTGACATATCTACGTGTTTTAGTTAGTTACAATAAGTATTTCACATTTATCGGAGACAAAGATTAAGAGAAGCATGATTTTGAACAGGTAAACCTGAGAAACCAACCATCACAAATACAGAAACAGAAGTTGACGAGGACTTCATTATTACCTGGTCAGAAGCTGAGGCCAAGAGCAGTAATTGCAGCGTTAAATACCGTCTGGAATGGAGGAAACAACCCATGACAGGATCCACAGTAATGGTTCAACGAGAAAATATTGTGGAAACTCACCTCAAGATCACTGGTCTTGAGTATGACACAGAGTATGAAGTGAAACTGTTCGCTGTCAACGAACAAGGAGACAGTGAGCCAGATGTCAGAACATTTAAGACAAAGAGTGGTATGTACCTTTATTTGAGACTTCTCACTTTACTTTTGGTAGAATTGTTTGAAATGAAATAAAATAAATACTGTTGGGTCCTAAATACAGGAGTAATACTCTTTTCATGAGGCGAAGAATTGTGAAACTTTGTGACAACAGGTTGAATACTCATGCTGTAGCTCTCATATAGGAAAAATAATTATTGGCCCAACATTTTTTTACTATCGTCACCTTTGATTTGGTCGTAAATTACATTGATGAAACTTGCTAATAGAGTAGTTCATCACGGTTTTTTTTAACCTTCCTTATTATACCAATTTGATTAATTTTATTTATTTGGTATTGATTTCCAGTCAACCACTTGAAAATGATTGCCTCTGAAATAAAATAGTTCAATAATTATTGTATGGAATTATAAATTTCGTGTCATTATATTGAGATCCGCAAATTTGCTTTATTCTATTCTTACTTCTTATTTTTATCCCAATCATTACATACTTGTTGTTGATGTTGATGCTGCGGTTCTTTCCCTGCATAATTGATTTTATCACAGGGAGGTTGGTTAATACCTTGCAGATCAAGAAATATTCTTCTTCCTGACGTTTTTGCATTCATTGCCACTGAGTACCATTCCTCCCGTGCGACTTTAGGTCTGCAATTAAAGTCTACCTTTTCGATGACTTTGCTGTTGCGGGCGCTTTATAGGCAAGTGTTGGGAGGGATTAGGTAATTTTTGATTGAGGAAGGGGTGGGGGGGGTGTCAAAATTTACTTCTCGATCTACCCTCTCCCATGCCCTCCCCCCATCCAATCGAGCTTTGGGACATTCGGATTCGCAACTGTTTTGTTAGCTCGACTTTCGTCCCAAACTAGATAAGACTGGAACCGATTGTCACAAAAATCGTCGTGTTTCGACATGTGATACAGTAAATCTATCTCTAAGAGTCTAGGACTGCTCTTATTCCGTCAAAAAGAACTGAAATGACATTGTAGGGATAAGAAAAGTTTTCTTTGCTTGTATCTTTAGCTAAATATGGATCAACCCATAAAGTTAAACTTAGACTTTGAGCAAAAGAAAAACGGCGTATAAAACAGAACTTTACGGATTTTAAAGTATTCAGATGCAAAGATCTTACTTTAAACTCTGCATTCCAAATCTCCGAAGTCGTAACCAAACCAGATCGCCGTTTAAGTTACAGATTTGTGTTTTAAAGATAAAGAAATCTAGACCAAAACGTCCCGGACTAGTCACGAATGCGTAAAGAAGCTTGTTTAGTGCGAACCTAGCCCTAGATCTATTGCTTTTGAAAGGCCTTCGTCTGCTCGGTGAAGAAAATTGACTTTTTTTAAACCAAGGCGATCTTATGTAGTTGAGTCCTTTCCAGCTCATAGTTTAATTATTATCACTTGAATTTCAAAGAGAATCCAAGTTATGGAAATTTTGTTATAGGGAGCAGACAGAAATATCTATTCTGTAATTAGTTACTGGAGGTTTTCAGTGTAAACGTTGGAGTATTGGAGATTTCACCATCTTTCACGGCTGTAGGTGACTTATCAGTCAAGCGTTCTTAATGATATGTCGCGCGACCCTTGTCAAGCAATTCTGACAGCACTACATTCCCCTTTCAAGGATTACTTGTCATGTGATCCAGTGCTGTTGTTACCAACATTGACATGGGGAAGAGGGCAGGGGGAGAGATTTGTTAACGATTATGACGAATTATAACCTAACCATAAATATTCGTGTAATTTTATAGGAAAATTCATTACCTGAGAGTGGATTCCGCGTTAGATTGCACGCGAGAACCGATGTCACACGAATCGCTAAGCGACGAGTGCGATATCGATATTCAATCGTTTAATTGAATAAAATTAATAATGGTAATTGAACTGAGTGAAGTGCAATTTGGGCTGAAATCATACGCGAGTTGCCAAAAGATCCTCTTTGTCATCATGGCTGTAATGTGTATAATAATTTCAGTTCACGTTATAATCATGATTATCTTATATTTTTTGTTCCATTAATTTTTTTATATGTTTTAAACATTTTCGTAGATACTTCTGATATATTTGTAATCAGAAGATGTTGAAATTCAGGGATCGTACTGATAACAGGATACTCTACTTTTAGGCTTCTGACAGGACTACCCTAAGTTTTGCCATTGGTTATTTTTATATGAATGAGTCTATTTGACTATCTATCTATCTCCAAAGAAACAATCCGCTTTACCCTTTTGATAGGGATGGATTTGTTACCCGTTAATCACATTTGACACTAGTAAGCACTCAGCTCTGTGCTAAAATTAATCTCTCTGTACTGTACCGATAGAAAGTATTTAAACTGCATTTCTTTGTGTTCGGATTATTAATAGAATATTCCGCTTTTCTTTTTCCATAGCCATAAGTCATTACACAACATATTTACAAGCATCTATTATAAGCCAAACAGAGTTCCAACCCAAGCTGCTTGCCTCTCGCACGATTTCCAATGCGAAAACAGACGAAATATTCACTAATCTCCTCATACAACATGGAAGAAAAGCCCTGATTAAGAATGACGAGACATATTATTCAAGGAGAAAAGTGCTTGAGTACTACGGGAATGTCAGCGGTACTCCAGTCAAGCACTGCAGTGAAATATTTCTAGGCATGATTGATGATCAGGAGAGTGCTAATTCTATTCTTGTCGTTGGAAAAGCAGGGATTGGGAAATCCCTGTTTTGCCAAAAGGTGATTCGCGATTGGGCCAACAACAAATTATTGCAGGCACAAGAAGACACTGGAATCCCAATTTAAAATTTGTGTATTTGCTTACTTTTCGTCAATTGAATTTGCTTGAAAATAAGTGTGTGACTTTAAGAGAAATCTTAAACTTTTCCTCAGTACTGGATGACAAATGTAACATTGATGACACTTTATTTGAGTACATTGTAGAGCATCCCAAGGAAGTTATGATCATCCTTGACGGCTATGATGAGTATTCACAGCAAGACTACATCGCTGGAAACTTAGAAGAAAAGCATCCCAATAACGGTAGTTGTGAAATGCCGGTGGCCGCACTATGTTCAAAACTCATCAAAGGAAAAATCTTGAAAGGGGCTATCATCATGATTACCTCGCGACCAGATGAATCGGACAGGATGGGAGGAATCCGTTTTAAACGGTACGTGGAAATTGCGGGATTTTCGTCAGAACAAGTTAAAGAGTACATCAAAAAATACTTCAAAGACGACGAAAATATGAAGAACGCTGTACTTAAACAAGTCATGAACAATAGGGACCTTGTCAGTTTTGCTCATATTCCTATGCTGTGTTATCTATTGTGCTTCGGGATGGAGTATACCCTAACCGAATCAGGAAATCCTGATGACCTTCCTGTCTCAACAACCAACATTTACACCAAACTTGTTGATATATTTGAACTTAAGCACTGCGCCGAGTCAGAATACAGACAGAAAGAAATTCCTGAGCAATTCAAGCCCCCTCCTGTCATTGAGAACACTTTAGATAAATTATCAAAACTAGCGGCTAAACTGCTGCTTGAAAGTAAGCCAACTTTTGATGAACGCGAAATAGAAAGCGAGTTTGAAGCGGAAGAAGTCAACAAACTGAAAGGTAGCGGGCTTCTTTACTGTGGTCAGCCTTTCAGGACTGCATTGATTAGAACCACGAAACACTTCAGCTTCACACATCTGACCGTCCAAGAATTCTTGGCCGCTCGTTGGTTTGTAAAGAGAAATCGTATTCCAGACGCGAAATGCTCTAATATGGTTTTCCAATTCATGGCCGGGATTTTGTCGAGTGAGGGAAAGGAGAAACAGATGGAATGTTTAATGCATTCACCCATCATGTATGCCAATCTTAGAATGACTTGTATGAATGAGTATCAAAACAAAGAATTCGCTAAATATTTCATCAGCTATCATCCCAAAGCGCTAAATATTTCATACAACGGGATGGCTTTGAAGGGTTTATCAGATGTAGACTACATTGGACTATCATTTGTGTTGGACATTATCAGTGAACTAAATAAAGAGAGAGCTCAAGAGACACAACGCAAACGTTCTAAGTTCGTCAAAGTTGACAGGTTAGATCTTCAACTATCACAGCTAACACGGTCTGGAATACAACGACTCTGTAATTCACTGAACAATGAACACTGTCGTGTGTCTAACCTGACGTTATTCCAGATGAACTTCACTGATGGGTATGTTTTTGGTAATAAATTAGTATCAGGGAGGTTAACCATACCAAGTGTAAAGGACACTAAGAACGCTAATACCCTTGTTGCCAGGCTGTGTGAAGAATTAGGGATTTGGATGTAAATAGAACCGCAAATATTTTTAATAAAGGTTTTTTTTCTACTGGCGACATTGTTTACTGTACTTGGTTTGTGTGTGTAGACCACTCAAGAGTTGTGACAAGTAAGAACTGGGGTCGGGGGAGGGGTGGGTAATCTTCCGTGAGGATATTCTGCGTATAAGGAAGCTTTTGAACAGGAACGTTTTGATAAAGTTTCTCGCGGTAAGAAAAAAAGAGGAAAATGTTCTCTCGCTCACCCGATTCTGATTTCATTTTCGGTGAAATTTCATCCTTCTGAGTACTGCAAAAAAACTAGAGACAGTTTTCTTTTATTTTCATCAAGCAACAATTTTTCGTTTTGCCTCCCTCCGTCAAAGGCTTTCCCTCCCACCTCCCCCTCACTTACTTGCTCGCATCCACACGAGCACGTACAAAGCAACTGACATAGAAAGCCATTGTACGTTTTCCGAAACCGGTTTTGCTGTCTATAACAGTTCTTTTAAGAACTCCATGGCCCCTATTGACGACAGTGAAGTCATCGCCAGAAAAACAGCTCTGATTCGAAGGACAAAATCCCATCGTCTCAGCCAGCCTCCAAACGTCCCAGCGCGAAAGCAGGTACTAAACGAGCCAGTGCAGAATCAAACGACGACTTGCCTTCGTCAAAACCAGCTCCCAAACGTGCTGGGAGGGAAGCGAGTTTCAACAACCTGCGGAACAGAATTGTTGACAAAGAGACTGCGAGAACAAAAACGGAGTCCATTTTTGTCCTTGAAAGAAGGAAGAGGGAATTAAAGTGGTCTGTCAATGCTAAACGAAGAGCATTAACAGTCAAAACCTCCGATCCCAACAACATCTTTGGGAGACCTTATGAGACTGATTCTTGAAGAAATCTCTTTCAAATTCAACAACAAACACTATCTACAAACACTCGCAATAGCTATGGCAACAAAAATGGCGGTAGCTTTTGCAGTCATATTCATGGCTCATATTGAGAAACAGCTACTAACTAGCTACAAGCCCGCAGAAACCATTTCTTTGGAAAAGATACATTGATGACATTTTTGTGTGTGGACCATTCCCGAAACCGAAATCAACAACTTCATTGATTTTGCTAACTCATTCCGCGCCACCTTTAGATTCATGAATGAACAGTCATCAAAAAAAATAGTTTTTCTCGATACTGAAGTGTTAAAAGGACCGAGGTTTTTACCGATAGCAAAATCGTTGATGTTTAAACATATTACATGCCGACAGAAACATTCCAAGATACACACAGTTATCTTCACGCCACCTTCTCAGTATTAACCCTTTACACCCTAACATCAGTATGTATACTCTCCACACTGTTCACTATACACCCTAACATCAGTATGCATACTCTCTACACTGTTCTCTATACACCCTAACATCACTATGCAAACTCTCCACACTGTTCTCTATACACCCTAACATCAGTATGCATACTCTTCACACTGTTCTCTATACACCCTAACATCAGTATGCATACTCTTCACACTGTTCTCTATACACCCTAACATCAGTATGCATACTCTCCACACTGTTCTCTATACACCCTAACATCAGTATGCATACTCTCCACACTGTTCTCTATACACCCTAACATCAGTATGCATACTCTCCACACTGTTCTCTTTACACTCTAACATCAGTATGCATACTCTCCACACTGTTCTCTTTACACCCTAACATCAGTATGCAAACTCTCCACACTGTTCTCTTTACGCCCTAACATCAGTATGCATACTCTCCACACTGTTCTCTATACACCCTAACATCAGTATGCAAACTCTCCACACTGTTCTCTTTACACCCTAACATCGCTATGCATACTCTCTACACTGTTCTCTATACACCTTAACATCAGTATGCATACTCTCCACACTGTTCTCTATACACCCTAACATCAGTATGCATACTCTCCACACTGATCTCTTTACACCCTAACATCAGTATGCAAACTCTCCACACCGTTCTCTATACATTTCCTAAGGTGCTGACAAAGGAGAATTAGCTTAATGATCCAGAGCTTCTGTGGTTGTTGATCATTTCCATAATTCTCATGACCTTAGTGCGTGACTAAAGGGTAATATTGTAATGAGAAATTAGATGCTAGTCACTCTTAGGGGCTAAACTGTTAAGAAGGATTTTGTAAAATGAGAGGCACTGCGCTTACTGAGAACAAACTCAGTTAAAGAATCTTTTGAGTTAAAGAAGAAATAATTTTTATCTCGCCTCATAAAACGAAGCTACCCTCAGGACCTCGTCCAAAAGGTCTTTGCCGATGCCCAGTTCTCATCACGCAACACGGCTATGAGAAACAAACCGAAATCATCTAAAAAAGATTTTCCCGTTCGTTCGGACTTTCAACCCTGCTAACCAGAATGTCAAAAGATTCTTATGAAACACTGGCACCTTATTTCAGGTAACAATAACCTGGTGCAAATATATCCTGATCCCCAATTGTTGCTTGTCTGAAGGTCTTTAAAGTATTCTGTTGTTAGAGCACAACTTCCTTCACTTTAATTACACAACAGCATTTTAGAAGTTATACACGATAAGGATTTAATTAATGGAAATACTACAAGACGAGGCAAAATCCGAACAACAGGTAATTGTTATAAGGTTTATAATTGGATGATATGAATTACGCCTCAGATTTAGTTATGGCTAAACCACGTTCGTTTCTATACAAACCCAAAACAAGTCGTCAAATGCAAGGTATTTAGAGTACACCACAGTTATACTGATGACGTCCGAGGTTAAGGTGGCCGAACGAAAATCAAACAAGGGTAAGTTTGATGGCAATTTTCTAAATAAGGTTTGGTGTCTAAATACCAGGAAATGATAATGTTTTATCATTTAAACAAGGGTACAGCACACTGTGCCTCCCCTCCCACCTGACAAGTTCTTCTGTTAGAGGTGCCATCCATACTTCTCATACAAAAGAAAAAGCATTCTCTGTTTGATTCTCCTCTCCCCCCCCCCCCACTACTTTCATGCCTCCCCTCCCACCTGTCAAGTTCTTCTGTTAGATTTGCCATTCATACTTCTTATATGAAAAGAAATAGCATTGTCATTTTATTCTCCTCCCACCCCACCCCCCTTTCCCTCTCCAACCACCCACCTCTCGTCACAAACTTATGAAAAGAGAATTATAAATCAGCCAAATGCAATATCGCTTTTGATCGTGAACTGAAGTGATTGCTGGCCCTGTTTCTTATGATTTAATTTGAAAACCTAAAAAAACTGGCAGCAGTATACTAATAAATGTTGGCAGACACAAAAATTATCTCGGGAGCCAAACGATCCCTTAAGATTACCGATCATTTCACGTGCACCCCCGCTAATGTTATCTATTGTAGAACGTGCACTTATTGCAAAAAAGAGATAAATTGGTGAAACAGAAAGATGACAAGGTGACTTACTCTGAGAACGCCTTCGCGACTAAGAAAGTAATGACAAGGACGCATGCAAACCAGTTTCCATACACTTTAATCTCTCTTGTCATTCTATGCAGCACATGGCACTCTGCGGCGTTTCCTTACATCTATGCAGTTCGGAAAGCTGCAAAACTCTTGAACAAAATTTATCTTTCAAATCGGCACTCTTAAACCGAACGGTATCAACGAATGCCCTTCATTCAACATATTCAGTCTTGTTTTCTCGTCATTGCATTCCCACCAATAGCGTAGTTCCATTTTCAGCATATAAACACACACACAACCCACAATTCTTCCGTTCGCCCTCACAAAGGGCTAACGCTTGAAACGTCAGTTTCGAAACTCGACGGTGGCCAATATACTTTATCAACTCGGTTTGTTAAACCAAAATTATTTTGTTATACTCCCCCACTAACGCAGAACCACAGTTTCTTTAGAACCCCATTATTCATATGAATTAGCGAATTATTTTTCGTAATTGTTCTTCGTAAACCGTCGATATGATAATGCATACTCATTATGGATTGTGTGATGGCCATTTCTTGATTTCTAACCTGAGGTTATGTTTCAGCGATGGACAAATTAAATCAAAACATTATCGAGGCTTATATCAATGAATTGCCATTTTGATCATTGAAAAAAGAAAACTTAATCTTCATTTCTAAAATCAGTCGCCTGAGTTGATCATGTCGGTTTCAACATCTGTATCAGATTTGAGTTCCCGGATCAAAAAGCGCCAGGTAGGAATGTGATTAGATCTTGATGGAGGACTCGGCACTTCTATCCGAGTAAATCGGAGATCTACAGCTCCGGTGTATTGCTCCACGTTTTCCTCCCGTAAGATTTCCTTTCGATCATCATCACACATTGTGTTGTAGGTATCTAAACCCTTTGTGAATTGTTAATCATTTTTGTCTTCAATGTTAATTTTTGAATAATTGTGAATATATACGAAAATCATCCATGTGAACTGCGGATAAAGAAGTGAATATGAAAGCAATCTTTGCAGTAATGAACACTACCTGAGCAGTAGTGAAAATAAGGCTTGAAAAAAATTCAGACGTGTACGGGATTTGAACCCATGACCTCTGCGATACCGGTGCAGTGCTCTACCAACTGAGCTGACAAGCCAACTGGGAGTTGGTTATTATGTTGGTTCCAAATAAACCCGAGAAGTGATGAATAAATAACTGTAAATATCCCTTTCACTCCCAGGAGTGACCAATAAGTAATTTCTCCTTGCAATATCATTACACTGTAAAGCAGACAGGTAATGAGAATCAGGAAAAATCAACTGGGGGATATTGTTTGATTTAACACCAAATTCTCAAAACTAACGCTATAGGTAATGTATGACAGAGAGGGAGGAGAATTAATATTGAGATCGTGGGAGTGAAATGGATATATATGAAAACATTTTGTTAACTCCAAAGCAAGGATTAGACACGGCGATTTCGATCAGTCTCACATGACTCCTGGTTCTTAATCTGAACGTAACTCTCTGTCATTGTAAAGGATTGTGAATCCGCAAGATTCGAGAGATTCAGAAGCTAAAAGATCTTTTTCCAATTAAAAACTGTCCTCGTTACTGCCTGCTTCTGATG